GCTATGGTCAATTAAGGACTTGTCAGGTTTTGGTGGTGCAGGATAGTCGGAGTGCCCGAGTATGTTATTTACGATACGTTGTGTAATATGTCTTCAATAAACATATAGGTGTTCTAGATGTTTAAGAACATAACACCAGAGTTGAAATCGACTTCTTAGAAGCATCATTCTTTGGACTTAAAATGTGCTTCAACGGTGACGCAGAAAACAACCATCGGTTCCACCGTGTACCTAAAACTCTACACGAAAACGTTAAGTGATCTAATCAACTTTATTACATGCATGACAATTTCTCGCAATCACATTGGTCGGATCAGATACACGTGACCAGTCCTCAAAAACTCATGTAGACTGGTTATCCGGTGAATATCGATTTCTAAATATAACCTATATGGAAATTCCCCGGAACCTGTCGTAGCGCATGCGCAGTTAGACCGGAACGCGATCTGTCAGACGACAATTGAAGATGGCTGCTGGCGAACGTTTCTCCTCCGTTACATCAGAAAATTACCAAAACTGTTCAAGGATAAAGATGCTGTTAACATAAAAAGGCCATTGAACACGCAGTGCATGTCCTCCATGCTTATCTTAAGGAAAAAGAACCTAGACGATGTCTTCGAAAGCTACGATGCTGAACTGTTGATTCAAACCTGGCTAAATATTACACAGAGGCTTGCGTACAAAAATCAGAACCTTTAGTTTTGTTTTATTTTATTGTTGAGGCATATAATAAAACAGTTATGGGCTTTTGTGCTGGTAAATATGATGTGATATGAACCTGAAAGAGTGATATTGACCTCGGCTTCGCCTCAGTCAATATCACTCTTTCAAGTTCATATTACATCATATTCACCAGCACAAAAGTCCATAATTGTATAATATTCAATAATGCACTGTATTTATTCTATTTATTCTACTGTATATAGTAAATTATGTTTTGCTATTTACCAATTTACCAATATTATATTGGTACATTTGTCCGAAAAAGGTAGTTCATTATCAACCATGGTTATACCACTCTAACGTTACATCGGGTCTAATATTTCAACGATAACATCGGAAGACATAATATAAACGTGTCTTAATGTAATCCAACTGGAATTCGGCCACTATCAACTATAGCTAATTAAGTGTTTGCATATATTATCATTTTCACCAGAGATGCTTGTTTGAATGCAATACATATATACATGTACATATGACCTCTTGTTTCATACATTGTGGGGTTGAGTGTAAAATAAAGTCTTTGATATCATTAGCAATACCCATATGGAACAGAAAAAAGAATGGTTTGTATATGTAAAGACAGACTAATTCAGCAATGGAGCAAAGGGAATCCTTGCTTGTATTATAGCTTGAATAACTGGACTAATTCAGCAAAAAGCGGCACAGAAAAGGTATAATAGGTAAAGCTAAACCATTCATTTATATACGGAATAGAACAGGCTATGTAACGCACGATGTATTACATTGTAGTTGTACTAATTCAACAATATAAGGAATATACGGAACGAAATAAGGAATATACGGAACGAAAGAAATGGTTGCTAGTATAAGCTAAACTAATTCTGCAATACATTTACAACTGTAACATAAGAATACAATGCTTGCACATATGACTCGGCACTGTACACAAAAGCAACTTGAACGATACATAATGTTTCACCAGAAATAGAGATGTGTACGGGACAGATCGCGTCAGCAATGTATAGAGTAGTATGAAAAAAATACAGGTTAAAATCAATTGCCCAAGACACAAGTGATAATGTTCTGGAGTATCATTTGTACTCTGAACACATTTTGAAGTGTTGAGAATAATGTATTGTGCACGCCTAGCTGTAACACAAACAGCCTCACTCAACACATTCCTCAGACAGATCCAGAAAAAGTCGCTCACACACAGAGAGCACTGAGCAAAATACACTCGTTTGTCTTATTTCGCGGGTTTACGATATGGGATGAGCATTCCGTAACGTTTTATTTTATAACAAACTTTCTCTTTGGTTTATTTCCCGCATTATTTGTATTAGGCTTCAAAAAGTAATCCGTAAAAATATATCTCAAGACTTTATTATATTCCTGAAAAATATCGATGATTTGTCAGAATTGTATTAAACGTCAGATCCAGGGCTTCGCACCAGCCAAACAATATCTCGACATGTACACTTGCCACCTTCACAGTCCGCGCTGAATCGTTTGAGATATGATGTATGATTTCTAACAACAGAAACAAACGTTAAAGCCTGGTAATGCCTTTAGTAGTCGCTGTGAAATACATAAACCCTATATTTGTGACGTGGAGTTACGGAGACCGATTTGTGCTGTGTATATTCACCGTTCCACTGCACGTTTTCAATAAAGTTGATTTAATACTGGATACAAAATGGTTCAAAGATTGTCATAACATGGTGTTCTAGATCACGTACCAGAATCATCAACAATATTCCCTAACTAAGTTCAGATCTACTACCAATTCTGATATCATCACAATATATATTTATATCTCTCAGAATATACAATATGTTAATTGTACCTTCAGACATGGTAGTACAGGAGTTTCCCGGTGATAATCAATATTTCATCAACACCTCCAGGATGTATTGTATATAAACAGTATTTGATAATCGCTTTGTATATGAACTAAAATGCTAATGTAATCACAGTGTGTAGCAATTAATATTAATTGCCAATATATTAATCATTGTACTCGTACTTCCTTTGATAAAAACACAGCGTTCCATCCTACAGTCAACAACCGTAACGTATTGTATTAATGATACAAATGGTGGATAAGACCATTAGAAAAGTGGATATAATCTGTCGTTTGTTATATGGAATAAAAAAAATTGTATCTATTTATCATAAATATGAGAGGATTGTAAGTATACATGGGATACATGTACATATATATGGAATAGAATACAACAGCCTGACAGTCACATCTCGGTACCTTTAAAATAATTGGTATTGTGTGTGATTGTACAGGTAATATAGCCAAATACTAATTCACCATCTGATAGTTAAACTTACTTCTCTATTATTCTAATACGCCCTGTTAATTAAAATATCAACAACACATGTAGAATTATATTAATACTGTGACTTTGAACATTCTTAAAATTGCACTGCAGTTATAGAAATAATTATTATTTTGGCTCTAGGTGTTTAAATCGTTTTCCAGTTCGGTGTATAGAAATCGTTTTGTTATTGTTCCATATAATAAATATTTAGATTTGGTAGCTACAACTAAATACAATAATCAAAGATATATCTGTCCAAGATTAATATTTATCTTAGCAGTTCCATTTAGCTGTAACGAAAATAGTGTTTGTGCCTCAGCTATGTTTCCTTAATGAGTTGTGTATAGGTAAAGTATTGTTCGTCTACTTATCGGTCAGACTTATAACTATTTCTTAATTGATTTCAGTACTTGTACAACAAAGTGATTATGTTGAAGAAATAATATTGTTAAACTATTCATATTCCAAAACCGTGTCGATCAAATTTTAAACAAACACCATAATGTGACACCGTTTATATAAGCTTTCGTTTAATACCTTCTAGTGGAATTTAGTTTGAACAACACTAGGCAGGCTATTTGGCAAACTCAAAATGTTTTATTATGTCCATAGCTTTTTAGATAATGATCTATTAATATACGTTCAATCATACAATATGGTTGAAATCTGAGCAGTTTCAGTTATAATTGGTAGGGTTTTTAAATTATACAAAATATGCAGGGAATATTTTATTATATCATGATACTGATTTCCTGACTAATTGGCTGTATTTGATAAGATAAACTAATCTTCTTACGCAAAACGTCACACCTTGTGTCGGAGTATGTGTTCCTTGTCAATTTAAACATATTGATTGTAAACGGTGTATAAAAACAAACCCTAATATCTCCCTAATGATGTCATATCTGGCAAATAAATCTATCGTAATTATAGATACGGTTTACATTTTACACCGACTTATTTTCCGTAAGAAAACGCTTGGTTGCTCATTATCATCCAACTCAGCCTTACATTCACAAAGGCACTTGAACTTTAAATAAATTAGTCGCACGTTTTCACGCTAATTCCTGGAATACGTAATTGATCATTAGCTTGTAAACAAATGTAAATAATGCCTCCGGTCATCAGAAATCCGGAGATTACACCCACCCCAAAAACGTACACACACGTTGGAATGGACTTTTCTTTTATCAAGTCACAAATTATTCGGAGGATTACCTGTACATTTAGTCAGTCTACCGGTACTTTCAAGATCCAACTTTTGAAATTTGATCACCTTTTAATTATCAAAAATGGTCTGCACTCCATGATTTGTAGCCAATCAAGTTACTACCGTACATGTGTAACAAAGTAAATACGCCTGGGCAATTTAAGCGTCGAATTAAACGTTTACTCGCTATGACTGAATGGTTTAATTTGCCCAGACATTTAAAACTTCACTTTATACATGTCACACAGGGACAAATTACGATCCCTATTATCTCTAAATAAATATCGCATTCCACATAAATGTTGGTTCCGTATAGCTAACGACAACGAATTTCAGAAAAAAAACTTTCAAAATATTGTTATTACATTTATTTAATTCCATTTACAATAAACATTTTATATCGATAAATAACATATTTGAGCATTTTAGAGGAGACATTTCAATTGTTGTAAAGAATTCATTTTTATTTGCGAATCGTCCCGATTACAAAGTGGTATGTTTTGTACATGTATATATATATATGTAGTATACATTTTAGGTAACAATCTTTGCCCGACAAAAGACATATCTCCGCGTTCTTTTTAAACATTTTGCATAACATGATCAATGTGAGTATGTCTAGAATACATCCAGTCATGGTCTGTATTTGTTTTTTCAATAAAGACATGTCTATGTGGTGATGATATTAATCCTATGACGTCGTCCGTTAAGTGTGACAGAACAACAGAGATGCCGAATATATCAATTAAAAGTAGTTTAAAGGTACTTACCAAGCATAAGCGTGGCACTGAGGACGAGATTAACTTTACACGCCAGTAGAATCCATTGTCGCCTTGGCCCACAATAGCCAGACGTCCCTGTCATTTTCGTCAAGTCAACTCGACCCAACACTCTACCCCATCATACACGTCCACGGAATGAGGAAACTTTGAAATTATTCCATTCTATGTCTGACTTCATCAACTTTACATATAATAATCCAGGGGCGCGCGAGTTACTCCAGTAAAACACCTGTTCTAGTCTACCTCTCCTGTATACTCGGCCGATCACTGATTAACTGACATTAATCCTAATCCTAATTCGTCAGATTTAAAAGCGACAAATAACTTAGACTTGTTTAAAGTGTTAAACCTTTTTCTTATCCTGCGACGAAATGTGAAGTGTGTATAAGTGAGATTTATACTGTGTGTTTGGGCGTACATTCCATTTAAAAGTATTGCAGGCTAGAAGCTCTCTCTGTTTCATACCATTGAATACACGAGACACCAGCGAAGTGCGATCGAAACCCACACTCTCCACCTCTAGTCGACAATGCTCTCCGGCTAACGGTATCACCACAGTACTAGCATGTGCATGCTATATAGTGCCAGACTCTAGTTTGCCACTAAAAACCCATATCAACCAGAATTTCAACAATACACTAACTATTCTGACGCTATACTCACTACCTAAACAAAGCTCGGGCTGATGCCATGGTTAGACACAATGATACAAAATAAAACCTCGATAATCGGGCATCTTTATAATGTGGAAATAGTTTGTGAACAGAACAAGAACATTCGTTTATCAGACTCCGTAATCTTTATATTAACCATGTTTATCAAGCATAAGCATGGAAATGCTAGATAAGATGTTACGTACGTTCGAATTAATAGTCAAATTATGCAAATAAGCACCCTTACCTCAAAGAGCAGGAATTAGATAAATTCAACCACGTCTAAAAACTATAAAAGCATGAACGTAAACCAAACATAATCATATCAAGTTAACTTAACCTAATAATATCAACGTTCACTTACCATAATTATATCATAGTGCACTAACCATGATTATATCAACGTGCACTAACCATAATTTAATCATAGTGCACTATCTATAATTACATCAACGTGCATTTACTAAAAGGATATCATAGTGCACTTACTGTAATTATATCAACGTGCACTAACCATAATCACATCAACGTGTACCAACCATAATTATATCATAGTGCACTCACCATAATTATATCATAGTGCACAATCCATAATTACATCAACGTGCATTTACTAAAAGGATATCATAGTGCACTAATCATAATTATATCAACGTGCACTAACCATAATTTAATCATAGTGCACTATCTATAATTACACATCAACGTGCATTTACTAAAAGAATATCATAGTGCACTAACCATGATTATATCAACGTGTACAGACCATAATCAAATCAACGTGTACCAACCATAATTATATCATAGTGCACTTACCATACTTATTTCATAGTACACTCACCATAATTATATCATAGTGCACTTACCATAATGATATCATAGTGCACTTACCATACTTATATCAACGTTCACTTACCATAATTATATCATAGTGCATTTACCATAATTATAACAACGTGCACTTACCATAATTTAATCATAGTGCACTTTCTATAATAACATCAACGTGCATTTACCAAAACTATATAATAGTGCACTAACCATAATTATATCAACATGCACTTATCATAATCACATCAACGTGTACCAACCGTAATCATATCATAGTGCACTTACCATAATTATATCATAGTGCACTTACCATAATTATATCAAAGTGCACTTAGAATCATTATATCATTGTGTAATAACCATAATTATATCATAGTGCACGAACCAAAATTATATCAACGTGCACTAACCATAATCACATCGACGTGTACCACCCATAATTATATCATAGTGCACTTACCATAATTATATCGAAGTGCACTTGCCATAATCACATCAAAGTGTACCAACCATAATTATATCATAGTGCACTATCTATAATTATATCATAGTGCACTTACCATAATTATATCATAGTGCACTCACCATAATTATATCAACGTGTACTATCTATAATTACATCAACGTGCATTTACTAAAAGTATATCATAGTGCACTTACTATAATTATATCAACGTGCACTAACCATAATCACATCAACGTGTACAGACCATAATTATATCAAAGTGCACTTACCATACTTATATCAACGTTCACTTACCATAATTATATCATAGTGCACTTACCATAATTATATCAACGTGCACTTACCATAATTAAATCATAGTGCACTATCTATAATTACATCAACGTGCATTTACCAAAACTATATCATAGTGCACTAACCATAATTATATCAACGTGCACTAACCATGATCACATCAACGTGTACCAACCATAATTATATCATAGTGCACTTACCATAATTTTATCCCGTGCACTTACCATAATTAATATTAACGTGCACAAACCATACTTAATATTAACGTGCACAAACCATAATTAATATCAACGTGCACTAACCATAATTGATATCAAGGTGCACTAACCATAATTAATATCAACGTGCACTTACCATGATTATATCAACGTTCAAATACCATAATTATATTAACCTGCCTTACAATTATTATATCAACGTGCAATAACCATAATTAATATTAACGTGCACTAACCATAATGAAATCAACGTGCACTTACCATAATTATATCAACGTGCACTAACCATAATTAAATCAACGTGCACCAACCATTTTTAATATCAACGTGCACTTACCATAATTAATATCAACGTGCACTAACCATAATTAAATCAACATGCATTAACAATAATTAATATCAACGTGAACTAACCATAATTATATCAACGTGCACTTACCAAAACTCAATCAACGTGCACTAACCATAATTAATATCAACGTGCGCTAACCATAATTAATATCAACGTGCACTAACCGTAATTAATATCAACGTGCACTAACCATAATTAAATCAACATGCACTAACCATTATTAATAGTAACGTGCACTAACCATACTTAATATCAACGTGTACTTACCATAATGAAATCAACGTGCACTAACAATTACTATATCAGCGTGCACTTACCATAATTATATCAACGTGCACTTACCATAATTATATCAACGTGCACTTACAAATATCATATCAACGTGCAATAACCATAATTAATATCATCGTGAACTTACCATAATTAAATCAACGTGAACTAACCATAATTATATAAACGTGCATTAACCATAATTAAATCAACGTGCACTAACCATAAATAATATCAAAGTGCACTAACCATAATTAATATATTAACATGGACTATCTATAATTTAATCAACGTGCACTAACCATAATTAATATCAACGTGCACTAACCATAATTAATATCAACGTGCGCTAATCATAATTAAATCAACGTGTACTAACCATAATTAATATCAACGTGGACTAACCATAATTAATATCAACGTGCACTTACATAGTTATATCAACATGCACTAACCATAGTTATATCAACGTGCACTTACCATAATTTAATCATAGTGCACTATATATAATTACATCAGCATGCATTTACTAAAAGTATATCAAAGTGCACTTACCATAATTATATCAACGTGCACAAATTATAATCACATCAACGTGTACCAACCATAATTATATCATAGTGCACTAACTATTTTTTATATCAACGTGCACTAATCATTATTATATATCAACGTGCACTAACCATATTCAAATCAACGTGCACTAACCATTATTATATCAACGTGCACTATACATAATTAATATCAACGTGCACTTACCATAATTTTATCATAGTGCACTTACCATACTTATATCATAGTACATTCACCATAATTATATCATAGTGCACTATCTATAATTACATCAACGTGCATTTACTAAAAATATATCATAGTGCACTGACCATAATTTATCAACGTGCACTAACCATAACCACATCAACGTGTACCAACCATAATTATATCATAGTGTACTTACCATAATTATATCAAAGTGCACTAACCATAATCACATCAACCTGTACAAACCATAATTATATCAAAGTGCACTTACCATAATGATATCATAGTGCACTTACCATACTTATATCAACGTTCAGTTACCATAATTATATCATAGTGCACTTACCATAATTATATCAACGTGCACTAACCATAATTAAATCATAGTGCACTATCTATAATTACATCAACGTGCATTTACCAAAACTATATCATAGTGCACTAACCATAATTATATCAACCTGCACTAACCATAATTATATCACGTGCACTAACCATAATTAATATCACCGTGAACAAACCATAATTAATATCAACGTGCACTAACCATAATTAATATCAACGTGCACTAACCATAATTGATATCAACGTGCACTAACAATTATCATATCAACACGCAATAACCATAATTAATATCAACGTGCACTTACCATAATTAAATCAACGTGCAATAACCATAATTAATATCAATGTGCACTAACCATAATTAAATCAACGTGCACCAACCATAATTAATATCAACGTGCACTAACCATAATTGATATCAACGTGCACTAGCCATAATTAATATCAACGTGCACTAACCATAATTATATCAACGTTCAAATACCATAATAATATCAAAGTACACTTACCATAATGATATCATAGTGCACTTACCATACTTATATCAACGTTCAGTTACCATAATTATATCATAGTCCACTAACCATAATTAAATCAACGTGCACTAACCATAATTATATCAACGTGCAAATACCAGAATTATATCAACGTGCACTAACCATAACTAAATAAACATGCACTAACCATAATTAATATCAACGTGCAATAACCATAATTGATATCAACGTGTACTTACCATAATTAAATCAACGTGCACTAACAATAACTATATGAACGTGCACTTACAATTATCATATCAACGTGCAATAACCATAATTATATCAACGTGCACTTACAAGTATTAAATCAACGTGCATTAACCATAATTAAATCAACGTGTACCAACCATAATTATATCATAGTGCACTAACCATTTTTATATCAACGTGCACTAACCATAATTAAATCAACGTGCTCTTACCATTATTATATCAACGTGCACTTACCAAAATTAATATCAACGTGCACTAACCATAATTAATATCAACGTGCACTAACCATAATTAAATCAATATGCACTAACCATAATTAATATCAACGTGCACTAACCATAATTAATATCAACGTGTACTTACCATATTAAATCAATGTGCACTAACAATAACTATATCAACGTGCACTTACCATAATTATATCAACGTGCACTTACCATAATTATATCAACGTGCACTAACAATTATCATATCAACGTGCGATAACCATAATTGATATCAACGTGCACTTACCATAATTAAATCAACGTGAACTCACCATAATTAATATTAACGTGCACTAACCATAATTAAATCAACGTGCACTAACCATAA